TTTTAAAAATCCCCCCCCCCCCCCAATACACACACACAGTTCACTTTTTACACACACTTAAGCATCTCCTGTACTATATGGCAGAACACAAGAGTTGACAGTATTTTTTAAAGCTCCACAATTTTAACGGCCACCAAGTTTCTTTGTGTGTGTGTGTGTGTTCGTTTTCATTTATTCAAACATGCCTCACATTCTGTTACTACATTTTATTTTTATTTCAAGCTGCTAGGATATCTACGATCTTATTTCTTCCCCGTGTTGAATTTATATTTGAGATCTGCAATCCGTTGTCTTGCCCCACGTGCGCCATTATTTCTGAGATCTGCAATCTGTTGTCTTCCCCCCGTGTGCCATTATTTCTGAGATCTACAATCTGGTTTCTCCCCACGTGCGCCATTATTTCTGAGATCTACAATCTGTTGTCTTCCCCCCGTGTGGCATCATTTGTTCGGGTCCGTTTCCTGAAGCACCCCGCGTCTGACATCGTATCGTTTGGCGAGTGGAACAACAACCAAAAGCTGGAACACCGCCACGAGATTCATAGTGGCCAGATAGTGGTAAGTACTTGAGTAGGTGCCAGTTAAGTCCTTCAATGTTCCTGGAAATGGTTTTGAAAGAATCAATCATCGAGTGTCAGTAAGGCCAACATTTTAACAAGATGAACAGGGCTATGAATACTTTTTTTTCTAAATGTTCAAATCACATTTAAAAACCCATATTTATGATTCCAGGAAAGAGCTAAAATTAGGCGCATGGCTTCCAATAGTGACGCGTCCTAGTTTGTTTGTTTGTTTGTTTGTTTGTTTTTGTTTTGTTTTTGTTTTTTTTTGGGGGGGGGTGGGGTTTAACGTTTGGTAAATCCTCGAATAAGCGTCAGTTTCATGTTCGAGCAGGCAGCGGAAATTAAGATTGCGACTACACCCTGCCAAGCCAATCACAAAGTGGAGCCATCTATCCAGTCTCTTTCAGAGCATTGGGGTAACCAATTTGAATAAATCAACTAAATTTTTAATCCAAAATAAATATCTGAACTAAATTTTTAATCCAAAATAAATATCTGAACTAAATTTTTAATCCAAAATAAATATGTGAACTAAATTTTTAACCGAACATAACTATCTGAACTAAATTTTTAACCCAACATAACAATCTGAACTAAATTTTTAACCCAACATAAATAGCAGAACTAAATTTTGGACCCAAAATAAATATCTTATCTCAATGTTTGGCCAAAGATAACTATCTTATCTCAATGTTTGGCCAAAGATAACTATCTTATCTCAATGTTTGGCCAAAGATAACTATCTTATCTCAATGTTTGGCCTAACATAACTATCTGAACTAAATTCAACCCGAAGTAAATACCGGCTCAAGAATTAAGAGTACAGAGAGGACCCAAAACGCAAATGGCGTAGAGAGTTCGACAAGGATGCAATCAAGATTGGAGAGCGTTTGAAAGAGTAAGAGAAGAAAGCGAGACTTCGCAAGGAATAGACATACATTTTTTAATTGTCTATGCTCGAGTGCAAGTCAGAAAGTCAAAGAACAAAAAGAAGAATCGGCTCATTAGTCGAGTCAAAGGTACAGGGTACACGGCTGGATCTACATTTGGTTCATATGGACCAAGCATCAGAGATTTGATCTATGTTCGTACAGCTTTGCTTATCAAATATTCAAATTTTTGGGGCGTTTACATATGTATTATAATTCAAAACTTCTTTTCTGTGTTTATTAAATCTACGAGTGATTCGATTGTAGGAATAGAAAAATACCTGCTATCGGATATGAAACAGCTCCCCCAAGGCCCATGAACAGGTAGTAGAATCCGATGGCTGTCCGGAAGTTGTCAATGCCCAGCACGTCAATCACAATGAGGGACTGCATGGCGAAGTAAATACCAAGGCAAAGTCCGTAGGTGATGGCCATGCCCAGAAAAGACCTGTAAATAAAGGTATCATGGTGTCATATGAAACTACAGCTTTGACTGCAGTTGATTGTGTCATATGGAACTATAGCTTTGAATGCAGTTGATTGTGTCATATGGACCTGTAGCCTTGACTGCAGTTGATTGTGTCATATGGAACTGTAGCCTTGACTGCAGTTGATTGTGTCACAGGAACTATAGCTTTGACTGCAGTTGATTGTGTCACAGGAACTATAGCTTTGACTGCAGTTGATTGTGTCACAGGAACTATAGCTTTGACTGCAGTTGATTGTGTCACAGGAAATATAGCTTTGACTGCAGTTGATTGTGTCACAGGAACTATAGCTTTGACTGCAGTTGATTGTGTCACAGGAACTATAGCTTTGACTGCAGTTGATTGTGTCACAGGAAATATAACTTTGACTGCAGTTGATTGTGTCACAGGAACTATAGCTTTGACTGCAGTTGATTGTGTCACAGGAAATATAGCTTTGACTGCAGTTGATTGTGTCACAGGAACTATAGCTTTGACTGCAGTTGATTGTGTCACAGGAACTATAGCTTTGACTGCAGTTGATTGTGTCACAGGAACTATAGTGTGTCACAGGAAATATAGCTTTGACTGCAGTTGATTGTGTCACAGGAACTATAGCTTTGACTGCAGTTGATTGTGTCACAGGAACTATAGCTTTGACTGCAGTTGATTGTGTCACAGGAACTATAGGGAATCTGGGGAATCTATGGAAACATAGCTTTCGTTAAAGTCGTGCAGCTAACGTCATTCGTTTCTTATTTTAAAATATTGTAGGAGTATGACGTCCCTATTGGTATCGTATAGCATGGAACATCCCCCAAACTGTTTTGGAATTCTATTTAGGTGTCGTTCGCGACATATGTCACGCTCAGAGAAGGGGGGGGGGGGTCGAGAATTTGTGACAGGGGAGGGGGTGTAAAAAATGTGTGATGTCATGATTTAATTATTTTTTTAATTTTTTATTGTTTTTTTTAATCTAAAATTTTCTAATTTTGAAAAATCGTTATTCACTTAATTTGTAAACCATTCATTTAATGAGGACAAAGCATCGGGTATTATAGATACCATGAACCTCAGTCATGCATAGCGAAAAATAACGCAAAAACTTTTGTGGCCATTTTACACTCGGCTTGTGGATGACTTCGTTGTTTCGGGTCACAGTTTTTTAATAATGCTACATCTTAATCCATTATGGGAACATTTTAAAGAATAAAGTACAATCTCAGTTTAGTTATGAAAATTGTATGTATGTTTTGATTTTTTTTTTAGGTGTGACGTGACGCTGGAATCGGGGATAAAGAATTTGTGACACTTTGTGACATGGGGGCCATACGTGACGTACTTTACGAACGACCCCTTTACTAATTTAACCTCATTTTTCCCCACTTCAAATGAGCATTGTTGAAATGTTTTACGAAACAAGGGGAAAGTTTTTTTGAGTTATATATTTACCATTTGAAGTCATTCGGAAATGAAGATAGTAAATAGGACATAGGTCCTTGCTAGCGTCAAATTTGGATTTACTTGGACTTCTAAAAGTCGTTGCTGGTGTAAACTCAATTGTGCTTTACTCTTAATTTGTAACTTACTCTTAACTTGTAACTTACTCTTGTAACTTACTCTTAACTTGTAACTTACTCTTGTAACTTACTCTTGTAACTTACTCTTAACTTGTAATCTACTCTTAACTTGTAACTTACTCTTAACTTGTAGTCTGCTCTTAACTTGTAACTTACTCTTAACTTGTAATCTACTCTTAACTTGTAACTTACTCTTAACTTGTAATCTCCTCTTAACTTGTAATCTCCTCTTAACTTGTAACTTACTCTTAACTTGTAATCTACTCTTAACTTGTAACTTACTCTTAACTTGTAATCTGCTCTTAACGTGTAACGTACTCATAACTTGTAACTTACTCGTAACTTGTAAAGAAGGAAGTCATGTAACCGACCAGCGCCACCACCAACATCGGAGGGATGCACGCCGTGGTGGGACGGATGAGGCGGAAGTTCACGATGATCCCACAGGACATGCGAGCAGGAAAGTCAAGGACGTTCAGGAGGGACAGAAAGAATGCGCCATCCGCGTCTGACAAGCCGCGCTCCTTGGCCAGGGCGGGAATGTACGTCTGCGGGATGGCCTGGAATGAGAAGGGGTTCAGAACACATGGCGTTGCTGGACACATAGCGGCGAGGACAAACAGATGGTGTTACTGAACGCATGGCAGCAAGGACAGACAGATGGTTTTACTGAACGCATGGCAGCAAGGACAGACAGATGGTGTTACTGAACGCATGGCAGCAAGGACAACACACATGGCGTTACTGAACGCATAGCGGCAAGGACAAACACATGGCGTTACTGAATGCATAGCGGCAAGGTGGTGTTAGTGAACGCATGGCAGCCAGGAAAAACACATGGCGCTACTGAACGCAAAGCATCAAGTGCAAACACAAGTCACAAGGCCAGGACCGTGCACGGAAGGGGTGCGAAGCGGAGGACGCACCGGGTGCCAACTTCAAGAGGGTGCCATAATCGTCATTTGTCAATTCATGGGCCTATATTAAATAGAAATAATTGATGAAACAAGGAAGGCACAATTTTCAGACTTCGTCCCAGGGTGCAACTTTTCCCTTCACTACCCTGCACGGGGCATAACTGAAGGCATCACAGCAAGGGAAAACACAAAACGCAAGGGATTGTTTTGAAAACTAGCACATACACATAAATATAACCATTAAAAGAATAATTTATTCATGTATACACGTTACAGCAAAAATCCGTTCAGGGTAAAGGTTAGGGTACACACCATTAGTTTATTTTGTTATGGAAACCGTTTAAATTATACTTCTTAAATGGCAAGGGAAATTTTCCCTATTTCCCCATGAGTTACAAATTGTAGGAAAATCCAAACTTATTTTGAAGAACCGCTCTTTAAAGTACTCTCAGATCCAACCATATCACACCCATGGTTAAAATCAGATCCACCCATATCAGACACATAGTTACTCTCAGATCCACCCACGTGAGACACATAGTTACTCTCAGATCCACCCACGTGAGACACATAGTTACTCTCAGATCCACCCACGTGAGACACAGTTACTCTCAGATCCATCCACGTGGGACACATAGTTACTTTCAGATCCATCAATGTCGGACACATCGCTACATCCCCAAAAACAGTTCATACTCACGTTTCCCACCATAGCACAGAAGTAAAACACGGTCAGGGCCCAGAAACTGGCCGATCTGACCAGCGTACTATGACCACACCGTACCAGTGCCCTCCTCAACAGATTGGGCTGAGCGTCAGAACTCGGTGTCCTCCGTGCGGTACTTTCCCGATCCTCCAGGTTCAGGATGTCGGCGTAGCTGACGTGGATGTTGGACGTGCTGACAAAAATGGAGGTGGCGGATGAAATCTGCGACATTTTCCTTCTGGCCTTGTACACCGCGTCGGGGTATCCCTCGATATCAATGGTCGGGCGACCTTCACTGTCAGCCAAGGCCACGGGTGTGTTAGGTCGCACTGGCGGCGTGGAGGTAGACTCGGGACTATGCATCGTGTCCGAGAGTCTTGGTGAGGAACGTGTCTTCCGAATCAAAGGTGCGCTGGAAGTGATTAGCTCGGTAGCATCGTGATTCATTTTGGTTTCGACTAATTCTTTATTTCCATTGTTATATTCTAGTGTGCGCTCTGCATTTGTTACATCTTCAGTGCCCGAGCTCTGGTTCTGGCATTCGTGGGCTTCTTCGAAATGTTTATCTCCCCCTGAGAGCGAACGTTTCAACTGCCCTCCGGACACGCCTTCCGTGGTGGTCTCCGTGTCTTCCGATCTAAGTCTCAATTTGCCATTTGACCATTCCAGCGGTGGAGTGACCTCAGAGACATCTAATATTTCCGGCTTATTTAAGGGAAATAACTCCTCCGAAGTAGTGTGATCAGATTCGGGCTCACGGCCCCTGAAACGATTTTTTATTTTATCGGAGAAGCTCGGTTTTTTGGATTTGCCTTTGCGACCCCTCCTGTCGTAATTTTGGATAGGGGTCAGGAGGGAGCTGAACACAAACGCGTGCATAATGACCCCTGCCGTCAGTAGGATCCCGCCTTCAAACGAGTACTCGTCCACCAGGCGCCGGATGAGCAGCGGGAAAACCATTCCGCCGAAGCTCGTGCCGCAGGACGCAATGGCTGCGGCCAGCGGCCTCCTTTTCACGAAATACTGCGTCACGACATACAGTGAAGGGCCGTAGATCATGCATGTGGCCATACCTGAGAAATAGAATCAGTTTTTAAGAAAGCAATACATTCCTTTAAACCATTTAAAAAGAAAATATTTTTTTTCAAAAACACAATTTAGGCACTTATGTTATTTATCAGCACCCCCCACCCCTTTTATTATTTCTGGGGGAGTGGGTGGTGGTAAGTCGAGGCACTCCAGGGACACGCGCTCCATAGTTTGTTGTAAGTTTATCTAGAGGTCTAGCAAACAAACCAACAGTTTAGATTGACTGGCATGTGTGCTCTAGGTCAACGGTTTCCAAACTTTTGAGCTAGTGGGGCCGGTGGACAAGTTTTACAATTTAATTCGTCACATAGCGTCAGCTTTTCGGGCTCCACTTGGTGGGGACTAAGCGCGTTATTTTTATACTAAAGACAATCTCGATATTTGAAGTTCAAACCAAAAAAAATGCGACTCAAACAAATAAACGAATGTTGTGTGGACCGGCAAATTAAGGCTTGCAGACCGGCAATGTTAGGCTCGCAGACAGCAACGTAATGTTCGCAGACCGGCAACGTGAGGCTCACAGACCGGCAATGTAAGACTCGCAGACAAGCAACGTAAGGCTTGCAGACTGGCAACGTAAGGCTCGCAGACCGGCAACGTAAGGCTCGCAGACCGGCAACGTAAGGCTCACAGACCGGCGCGGGTCCGCTGATCACCATTTGGGGAGCGCTGCTCTAGGTTATAATAAAAATCAACTGCTGATAATCCTATCAGGCGTTCTAACTTTGGGCTCCACGGAATTTAGGCAGGGGCTTCATTTAGGTTGGGCAGGTGGAGCAGTCCCCCTTCTCTGAAAAATTCAGGTGTTTTTTTGAATTGCTATATACTGTTGTGTCAGTAATAAACAACTTGACAAGCCGACCAAGTTTTGGTTTTGCCCTCCCCCCCTCCCCCCACCTTGAAAAAACCTGAAATGACGCCACTGAGTTGAGCGTCATGGATAAAAATAAATTTGTATCTTCACTATCCTCAAATTGAAGAACGATAGGTCCACCAAGGCATCTATAAGCTATCTATGAAATCTAAGAACCACTGGTTTACTGCATTTAATCTAATGTACAGCCAACCATAATTGTCCAAAAAAAAATGCACCCACTCACCGTACATAACCCCCTGGGTCAAACAGAGATACTCCAGTTGTTTAAACAAGCTGTTGCCGGCCACCCCGGCGGTGAAGAAACCGCATCCTATCAGGGCAATGCTTCTCGGGGACAGAACCTTCATCAGAAACCCCATCACTAGAAAACCTGATGGGGGTAACAAAAACAAAAATAAATTATGTAATATCGTTAAATATATTGAGTACCTGTCTTAACAAACTGCAAATTTAGAGCAAATCAAAGAATGTCAAACACGTGGTGAGCCGGAAGTATTATAAAATATCAAATTATTTATTTCCCTTCACATGTCTGGAACTAACACTGAGAAACGTCGTTTCCCGCTCATAATGTGCTATTGTTTCCTTTGAAAAGTGGAAGAAAATTGTTAAGCGAAAAAAATGAATGTGCGTGAAGTATCGTTCATCTTAAAAAGTTCCTATTAATTTGTTTGAAATCAATGTTTCCCTTTACTATAGACTGGTCTCCTGTATGTGCTTTTGTTTCACATTGATTTTCGTCATTAATAAAGACTTAATGACTGCTAGTCATGGGCGCCCGCAGGTGGGGCCTTGCCCCCCCCCCCCTGAAAAAAAAATGTTCCCCCCCCCCCGGGAAAGTTAATCGATTTTTTTGCCCCCCCCCCCCTTTTTAGAAAGTTTTCTGCGGGCGCCCATGCTGCTAGTATACTATAAAACTATTTAACTAATCACATTTAAATAAACTGAGCGATACCCTCTCCTTTGTACACATGATCTATATAAAAAACAAAAAAACTTCAGTGTTTATGAAAAGGACGGAATGATAAACGAAACAATCTACTCACCGCCAAGGCTGGCTACCGCTTCTGTCACACTGACGATCAGTGACGTCATGGACGCGTTCGATCCGAATTTGGACTGGAATTCCACGAAGATGACCCCGAGAGACTTGGTGTAGCCAATCAAGAGGAACTGTATGAAAAACACAGCTGTAGAAGGAGATGTAAAGTGTGGAGCATGCATCAGCCAGGCAAAGGCATGGAGAACTCTCAACAAAAGCTGCAGATTTTGGGATGGGGGGGGGGGAGGGGAATGATATATCCAACTCCAACATATGTCGTCACATGTGGTCAACTTTTTAGCATGAGCCGCATAGAATTTTTTCATTTTTCTTGGGCCGCGTGAGATTTTTTAAAAGAAACTAGATGTCTACTAAACCAAAGATACCCAAATCTTCTTTTTTTTTTTTTTTTTTTTTTTTTTTGGTGGTGTAAATCCTTTTAAGAACTCTCAACAAAAGCTGCAGATTTTGGGATGGGGGGGGGGGAGGGGAATGATATATCCAACTCCAACATATGTCGTCACATGGGGTCAACTTTTTAGCATGAGCCGCATAGAATTTTTTCATTTTTCTTGGGCCGCGGGAGGTTTTTTAAAAGAAACTAGATTTCTACTAAACCAAAGATACCCAAATCTTCTTTTTTTTTTTTTTTTTTTTTTTTTTTTTTTTGGATGAGTGAATCCATTTTATAGAAGAAATTACGTAAACAAAAACACTTCCAATAGACATGTTAAAACGGAAGTATTATAAAATTATTCAAAATTGATTTTTTTTTAATATAATTTTTTTTTTGCTGGTATCTTTCCGTCACATTGTGACTAAGTTGTACTCTCCGCAGGACGAAATCCGCAAAGCCTTTGGATTATTATTTGTTAGGATTATAAGCTGGTTCCCACACAGCAAACGCCTCTCTCCACGCCGCTGGATAACCCAAAAGGATGTGGATGATACAGCTTGGCATCAGTGGCGTAACAGGAATTGTCGGAATGTTTCATTGTGCCAATGTTATCCGCCTACGGGACCCAATCTCCGGGTTTGAATTCAGAGTTTCATTCACTTAGTTGAGTTGCCATACAAAGTTAACGAGTCCCATCCACCCGGGTTCACAGAACATCTTCGGGGTTTTGAACAAAGTAAACTTTCCTCAGTTTCTTCACATTTCAACAGATGGGAACATAGAGGTGCATTAGATGTATCCACCACGGCACTAATGCCCTGTACAGACACACCTGAGAGAGTTAAATGGAAAACAAATTGATTCAACTTTTGGGCATCATATTTCCATATGGTATTAAGCAACTATTCTCCTACTAATGTTTCTCAATTTCCCTGTATTTCTTTTTTTAAAAAATTATTCCTTAGATTTTTTTGTATCCCTAAATATTTTGTTCATTTAAGATTCTTGACCTCATTTTTCATAGTATCAATATTTATATTTTTTCACTTCCTGAATCCTACTTCCGGCAACAACAAAGGGGATCTCTAAAGTTTTCCTTTTAACCGTGCTTGTCGTACTTCTGTTTGTCCTGCTCGCTGAATGGAACTCTAAACCGAAAGTTTACATCTTATTGTAAAATCTTTTGATTTAAGCTTCTACATACCTTGTTTTACTATTTCATTCAAATAGCTAGAATGCAGTCCTTCAATTATTATCTATTTGTTCTCTTTCAGAATACGTAGGGGGGTGGGGTCTTAACATTTGAGAGCCCGTCCAGTGCCCATTCATAGGGACCATACAGTGAAAATTCAATCAGTGTTTGCAGACGAATTGGCTACCAGGAAACAAAGTCTGAAATGACGTCCCCGTTAGGCTGTCGTAGGATATTTCCACGTGCAAATTGTTTGAGAACTGCATTTGTTAAAGATCTTCACTGGCTTCCTGTGAGTGAGCGCACTGACCACAAAACTCTGTCCCAGACATATAGCTGTAGAGAAGGCTCTGCGCCTGTATTTCTTCAAAAAATGATTTGTAAACATGTATCCTTACAGAATCTGCGCTCTTCAACACAGTCCTTACTGAGATTTCCCAGTGTGGATGGACACAGAAAGAAGTCATACGGAGTGCGCTCTTTTGAAGCTATTGCGCCTAAATTGTTGAGCAATTTGCCTCAATCTTTGAAGGAAATTAGAAGTAATAAAAAGTTATTTAAATACATTTTTCTTTAAATAGATTTTCGGACATCGGAGCGAAAGCGCTGTAAAAGTACTCAATCAATCAATCTCGTCTTGTTAGAGAAGTGACCATTGTCGGTATTTCGCAGAACGCGTTTTCCAGTTATTGCTACATATGGCTTTTCTAGCGACTGCTTTAACCCAAAACTTTGGTTGTGACAGAGAGGCGGGTGACCATCTTTATCCAGAACCCATTATCCAGCTATTGAAAACAGAGTGTGCGACGACTCCTATGTTCAGAGACTTTTTCTCCAGTGTTCGAGTGTCCCCCAATCCATTGGTCTAGCGACTATCTGCGTGCGTCAGTGGATGCCCGTGCTATGTGACTGTGCCGCCAGACTCCTGTATCCAGTGACTGCACTTGAGGCGAAAATCTTCACCCGGAACCCTTTATCCAGCTATTGCAAACAGGGTATGCGATACCCCTATGCGCAGTGACTTTGTGCCCAGTGTTTGAGTGTCATCAGACTCTTGTATCCAGTGACTGTAAGTGTGGCGACGCGTACTCCAGTGGACGCTTGTGTGGTTATCGGTATCCAAGCGGCGTGCGTGTGTAAGACGATTCATCTGGTGGCCGAGCACATGAGACGACCCATATCCCCATCGAATGTTGATGAGTCGGCGTGAGATGAAATGACCGCTCCAGGTGATCGACCGTAAGACGTCAACGATTAAGTACATAACTGAAGATCCCCCACTTACTTTGTACTTTTCTATGTAGCTAAGTACTCAATTTGTGAGAGCTAAATGGTTAATAAGGTAAATACATTAATATAATTATGAAAAGGGGATGCTACTTACCAATTAGCACCACCCATGCGTATCCACCATCCACTGGGTGTTGGCTGACGGGAGTGTCCTTCTCGACAATTTTGTTTGACGTTTGTCTTTCTTCGCCTTCATTTGGCAACCCATCAGACGCAACGGCCGTTTCCTCGTTTTCGACGGAGTTGTCCGGCGCCGGGTGACCATTATTACATTGACCATCATCCCGACCATTTGGCGATCTCTTTAATTCGCTCAAACTCTCGTGTGAAGCCGTGACACTCTCTCGCTTCTCTGCCATCTCAACACTGCCGTCCAGCCCCAGAGTCATGTTTTTATGTCTTCTTTGTCAACTGACAAGTTTGTTTAAGATGGATTGGTTCAAAGGATACTTTTTTTTAAATTAATTCATAGCGGTTTCTTGAAATGTTTGGTTTTAATAACAATTATATATTCCAGCCAATGATCAATGATCAGTGCTCTACCACATTGCGCTAGATTCCTAATGAAAAAACAAACACTTGATGGACGAGAGACATTACAGTTCTGCGAGGAGATATTGCAACATGGCTACATGTTTTATCCATTACAATGGGCGTATGTTGGCCTACAAAACCCCTACCCACCCACAAACCACCACCAGATCATCCCGGTGCCCTTATCGTGTATCGTGTTATCACAGAGACGTTATCGGGCACCCGGCAAGCGTAGTGTCGTCACCAGCAGCAGTGGCGTCACACGCAGCAGTGGCGTCACCTGCAGCAGTGGCGTCACCAGCAGCAGTGTCGTCACCAGCAGCAGTGGCGTCACCAGCAGCAGTGGCATCCCCAGTAGCAGTGGCGTCACCAGCAGCAGTGGCGTCACCAGCAGCAGTGGCGTCACCAAGAAGAGAGGGAGGTGAGCTTTCTAGCAAATCTTAGTCTCCCCCCAGTGTCGGATTAAGGCTTTGGGGGTCCTAGGCTAGGACAATCTTAAAAGCATCAAGGGGGGGGAGGCGAGGCCAGGACAGCCTTAACAGCTTTTGGAGTGGGGGGCAGAGCAAAATGATGCACTGAGGCTCCACATTCCCCTGTAACCTATAAAAATAATGTAAGGAAACTTATTTTGCGCCAAATTTGTCCATCCGTAATGACAATTGTTTTTTCAGACTATTACTGAATAGCTTGATTATTATTTTTAAGTTGAAACTTATTTTTCTCACATTAGTAACCCTCTCTCTTGCCTCCCCCAAACCAATTTTTTTTTTTTTTTTAAATTAAAATCGAATTGATTTTAAAGTCAAAAAAGTTGGTTTACAAAATTTGGTTTCCCCCCTTTCAAATAAAATAAATTTGAAAATAGATTTTTCAATATTCATTATCAATGTAGGTGAGTCAGTGCCCCTAGACGCGTGACGCTCCCAGGAAGCGAGAAGTCCCGTAGAAGCGTGAGGCCCTGGGCAACTTCACGCTGTCCCCATGCCTTAAGGCAGCACTGTCATAGGAAGTCGAAGTTTTGCGCGCCCCCCCCCCCTTTTTTTTTCTTTTTCCGCCTCCCATTGGCACAACAAGGAGGTTGAAAAGGTGTAAGGATCCGGGGCTGTAATTTGTGGTTGATACACATAGACCAAACACATACATGGATGTCTTTGTTAAGGGCGGCAATTTTAGGCGCTCTTCCCGAGGAACCCTGCAGTCTTCGCCCCTGTCAAAGTGTAACACTCCCATGACAAGGTCAATGTCAAAGTGTAACACTCCCATGACAAGGTCAATGTTAAAGTATAACACTACCATGAAGAAATACGTAAGTCTTGAGTCTCATTGGTTAGCGCATTTTTTTTAACCCAAATTAACTGGCCCAATTAACTGACCCAATCAACTGACCCAATTAACTAACCCTATTAACTGACCCAATTAACTGACCCTATGAACTGACCTAATCAACTGACCCAATTAACTGACTCAATTAACTGACCCAATTAACTAACCCAATTAACTGACCCAATTATCTGACACAATTAAGTGACCCAATTAATTGACCCAATTAACTGACCCAATTAACTGACCCTATTAACTGACCCAATTAACTGACCCAATTAACTGACCCAATTACCTGACCCTATTAACTGACACTTACTCAAGTCTTACTCAATTTCTCATCAATTCCTCCCTGCGGTCATCAAAAGAGGACAGTCTATCGAACCCCCCCCCCCACTTTGATGTTTATCGTCTTGTTTGCGACACGTGATGTATCCCCTACTTTTTCTCTCCCACTCTTCTTCTCTCCCCCCATCCCCACATTTTATAAAGCTATTGCTATGTATGGAGAAGCACATCAATACTATTACATTACGCTATTACAAGTACGTTCAAGATGAAATCAAATGTTTCAAAAAATGTGATCCCTTGTCGCGGGGCCTCTAAAAGAAACGGGGGCAATGCCCCCCACCCCTAACCCCAGCCCCCACACACAAACTGGGTACATTGGAGAAGCTAAATATGTTTACGCCACGTTAACAATTGTTAACATAATTAGATTAAAAATACGAAAGCTCAATCCATCTGAGAGAATGAATCAAAGCAAATTAAGTTCTGTGATGTCCACATGTTCATCGTTTAGGCCGACTCCCTGTCTACCAACTATTCTTTATTTACAAGGCATTCCAGCGATGTCTGTGGGCCACCCAAATGGGAACATTCCAGCGATGTCTGTGGGCCACCCAAATGGGAACATTCCAGCGATGTCTGTGGGCCACCCAAATGGGAACATTCCAGCGATGTCTGTGGGCCACCCAAATGGGAACATTCCAGCGATGTCTGAGAGTATTATCATTCACACACACATATACATGTGTATATTTACCTGTCTCCAACGTCTGCTCGGTGTGGGTGGGGCTTCTTTAGCCCCCTCATGTATGAAGTAATTAACCATTGGACTCTGCAATCGAGGATTTTGCGGTTTCCGAAGCTTAAAATTTCCTATATTTCAAACTTGATATTCCCACCCGCATTCAAACACAATACAGCAATAACTGTCCCATGTGTTCCACACACGTGTTTTGTTTCAGCAAATTTAATCCTTAAAAAAAAACAAAAAACGGTTTATTCATTCAGGGTGACACATACCCGTCCCATCTCTACTCGGAACAGCTGTTGAAAACGCTCGTCTCAGGTGACAACTTTTAAAGTGGAGAGTGTATGTGTGGGAGTGGGAGTGGTTGGCGGTGTGTCGTTATAAACATTGGTCAATGCAATGAGCAGCCAAATAAGGGGAATCTTTGTTCAATGTTCTGTGGGTTTTTTTTTGTTTGTGTGTGTGTGTGTGTGTGTGTGTGTGTGTGTGTGTGTGTTTGTGTGTGTGTGCTGGTGGCAGGAGAGAGACTAAATGTTTTAAGGCTTATTATGCCCCCCACCCACTATCTCGGTAGTTGTTCGCCGTCTTTTGTTGCATGTTTAATGATATGTAGTGTGACTCGAAAGTGGGAGTGGTTGGCGGTGTGTCGTTATAAACATTGGTCGATGCAATGAGCAGCGAAATAAGAGGAATCTTTGTTCAATGTTCTGTGGGTGTTTTTTTGTTTGTGTGTGTGTGTGTGTGTGTGTGTGTGTGTGTGTGTGTTTGTGTGTGTGTGCTGGTGGCAGGAGGGAGACTAAATGTTTTAAGGCTTATTATGCCCCCCACCCACTATCTCGGTAGTTGTTCGCCGTCTTTTGTTGCATGTTTAATGATATGTAGTGTGACTCGAGCAATTGCCGTGGTACCCATGCGCCACAAGATAGACATGGTCTGTGCTGTCCAAACAGTTGGACTCCTTGGGCAACCGAGTTTTACATTATCGAAAGGCTGAGGGCTCCTCGCGAAAAATTAAAATTAAAAATTTTATTTTTATTTATTTTAAAAAAAATTAAATACAAAATTATAACTTAGTATTATTTATTGTATACGAAATAGGTTTTTGCTTCATAATTCAGCGCCAAAAATATAAATTTATTGAAAAAACTTCGAAGAAGTCATTGTCCGTTGAAATATTTAGCTTTGAATAAGGGGGGGGGGGGGCATCTCAGGGCTTTGTGAAGAGGGCATTTGCCCCCGGTTGCCAACATCAGGGGGTGAAAAAATTTTATTTTTCCTCTTACATTTATTGTCAATTAATCGATAAGATACGATATACTACTGAGATACGATATACTACTGAGATACGATATACTACTGAGATACGATATACTACTGAGATACGATATACTA